AGGATCGTAAGAGGTCCAAGATATCGAGAGTTAGAATATCTTACGAAGAACATAGACATCACGAGTCCGGAATGGAAGAACCTCCATGTAGATTCCCTACCAGGTCTACATGAGGTTCTGATCAGAACTTMAGAATTCTCGTGAACGCGCTCGATAATCTTAATCTTATAATTTCAATTTCATACACACTTAAACATACTAAGAGTACACGTAATCTCGTGCACAGTAATTACTAGTAAGTGATTTTCGTGTATCGAAATTAATCAACCCTTAAGAAAAACAACCAAAATACTACGCCGACCATGGTGAAACCAAATAAGAACAACTCCTCCACCAAACAACATCGACAAAACACACATCGATCCTGTCTCAGCCTAATCAACAACTTTGATCCAGCCCAACTGAAGACAGTCTCGATGACAGTAAATCTCAGAAATCCAGGCAACGCTCGTGAATGAGACACATTGTACTTCCACTATCCAATAGGACTTTAAAGGTGTTCATTGTCGGTAGGCTTTGGATGGCTTTACATACTAGGATCACTGTTGGTAGTACATCTTGCACATCTGGGGGTGTTTTTAGAGCTCTCAAGGTGACTGCTGTTGGATTCTTGAGAGGTTCGTCATTATCAAGGCCATAAAGCTCAAGACTTTCTCCTGGTGATTGAGTGGAAGGCATTGGAGGCAGTGCAAAGTAAGCCTCGCTTGAATGTCACCACTGTTGATTTGGGCCTTGTCCTTGTCCTTGGAATCGGACCGTCTCGTGCAAGGCCTACTGTGCCAACATACAGAATGTTAACACTAAAATTCAGTACGTTAATTTAACGTTCCAAACCCCTTAATTAATGAAAGTTCAATTGTTATTTTTCACCTAGTAGTACTAAATGATTATTAAAATCGCACACTAACAAACACTACTAGTAGTTAATTTTTTATTTAAATAAAGCACCTCAGTTGACTACAAATGTGTAGTACATGAATACAGTATTCAAAGATTTTATTCTGGTCACCAAAATTGTATTCAGGTCAACAGCCAGGCTGTACCCAATTTTGTCCACGTTACTGCTAGTTATTTGGCTGAACCTGAATACAACTCTGAACCCAAAATTGAGCTGAGTACAAAATTTTTGGGTACTTTGATGACGTTCATACCAAAGAGGTATGTACTCTATCAATTTTTTTGTTTTCAATCAAGCCCAATTTATCAGCTATTCATAACTTGTACTGATGTTCCTTTTTACAAATAGCTTGTTCTTCTCTCAGAAACAGAACTTTTCCATTCAATACCACCCTTTCCCGTACAATAAATATACTTAGATTCTACTGAGAATAATGGCAACAAAAAGTGGACATAATCAATAATATGGTAAAGTTCATAAAAGACTTACTATCATGGTTAGTACCAGGAGCAATAAGAATAAGACAAGAACCCCTCTGCGAGGATGGGGATCACAATCACTGCAAAAAAAGGTAACAGCCAGGAACAAGAACAAAGCAGGAGACAAACAACAAGCAGACCATGGTGCTTGGCCAGAAAATGCCCATAAATTTGCAGAGGATAAAGCAACTCAGGAATCAGAAGCTCAATTGAAGAGAGAATTGTTTGCTGCTAGGAATCAATGAGGGAACAATGTGTCCTTTGTAGATATCATATGCTGTAGCAATGGCCAAGGCCTTCACATGATTAATTGCAGCATGGTAGTATTTCCATAATTTGTAACCAATGTTGGCTCTGGAGATGTACCCATCAATATGGTCTAGTTTCCCATAAGTATAAAGATAAACCTCACAAGACTCATTTCTTTCAATGCCC